TCTCTCTCTCTCTCTCTCTCTCTCTCTCTCTCTCTCTCTCTCTCTCTCTCTCTCTCTCTCTCTCTCTCTCTCTCTTTCTCTCTCTCTCTCAGTTTCACAGAAGATACTTCTTGAACTGTGTCCCAAAAAGCATAGGGGAAGCTTCAAACTAAAGGGTCTATACTAGTTCGACACTTCGGATACGTCCGTAACACGAAATGCTGTGGGTGACTATACAGTGCTTGTCTTTTCCATCTCTCAGCCCTCTGGCGTGCTAATATGTCATTTCTTGCGGGCTTCCTCTCTGTCAATCTCCTGTGATTTCGGATATATCCGAACTTCGCTTATCTGGGAAAATCACATTGCCTTGCTGCTCTTCTGCAACGACCGTCTGAAATGCTTTTAAAAGCGAGGCTGATGATCTCCGCGTGTGCTCGACCCTGCGCCCTCCGTGCGGCGTCTCGAGAAAATTAAGTACAGTCTCTCTGAGACACTCTGTCTCTCGCTCTTTTTGTCTCTCTCTCTTTTTCTATAGCTCTCGCTCTTCAAATGTACATGACCATTTCTTGCGGACTTCCTCTGTCTGTCTATCTCCTGTGATCTCGGATACATCCGAGCTTCACTTATCTTGGAAATTCACATTACCTTGTTGCTCTCCTACAACGATCATATGAAATGCTTAAAAAAACGAGGCTGATGGTCTACGCGTGTGCTCGACCCTGCGTCTCCTGAAAATTAAGTACAGTCTCTCTAAGACTCTCTGTCTCTCGCTCTTTCTATCTCTCTCTCTCTCGCTCTTTCTGTCTCTCTCTCTCTTTCTATCTCTCTCACTCTATACATGTACACGATCATCGGTGCAAAACTCCAATTCATTCTGGTCCTCACACTTCTAAATACAGGTCATCCTACTCCTCTAAGTCTGTGAAGAGCCACAACTCGTTTTACTCACAAACTCGAGTTTTTGTCATTATACTGTTCTGATTCGGATGAGTGGGATGCTCAACTCGAAGTGAAACTATGACACAGTGGTATATATTACTCTGTTCTGGTGTCCCACATCTGGACACAGGAGATATATGTACCGAGGCAGCAGTACATATTATAACACAGTGGTAGCAGATATATGTACTGACTCAGAGGCGTATAACACAGTGTATACTCTGCTGTGGCGTTCCACATCTGGACACATCCGAACCACGAGAGGAGAGCAACTATATGTACTGACTGTGCTCCTCGCCTCAAAGTTGCTTTACTCCTTGTTCGGATGTATCCGAATCTGGAATACTACAGCAGACTATACACTGTGTCATAAATTCGTTTCAAAATAGTACACACAATAATGTACACTTTTAACGAATAACATGTTTATATGTAAAGCGCGTGTCCACACATGCAATGTAGGCCTAAATTGCATGTGTGGTTTGAGGCCACACATGCAGCGAAGGCCTATATCGAAAGTGCGTGTCCCCACATGACATATAGGCCTATATCCAAAGGATACGGTGTGGCCTCAGTCACTTCGCAGTCCGTGAGCGAGTATTGGCCTTGAGGCCAATCGCTACCCCACCATGCGGACTCGACACCTCTTCACCGCCTTCCTTTCGTTTGCGCCCCTTCCTGCCGCCAGCCGTGGTCCTGCTCGATTCCTGGCTCATGGCGAGGCTCAAGACACTCTGCTGAGCATTTGCAGCAGCGGGAAAAGGCACGGACGCAGGTTGCGGCTCATCCTATGGTCTAGCTTCAGGAACAACGTTGGGCTCAGGCATGGAAGCAGGGACGGGTCTACCCTCACCGGGAAGAGGCACAACGAAAGCGGGCTCAGCACCGGTAACAGTTTGCTCCACACCGGACGGGACGGCAGCAGCCTCGACAGTGGGCAAACTCGCACCTGACGGCCCGACAGCGACAGCCTCAGCGTTGTCCGCCACTCCAGCAGTGCCCGTGTTTTCGTCGGGCACGAGTTCATTTCCGGCAGACTTCGTATCCCCAGATAACTTAGAGGTCGGGTTGCCTTGTGCGACCTTTTCTTTCCACTTTGGCGTTTCGCACGCAAGTGTGCCGCCGATGTCTGTCAGAAGCCTCATGGCGATGCCCTAAGCGCACTTGGTGTTTATCTCCACCACAAGGCAATTTCGATTTGCCTTGACGCACGCTATGGCACCTGTGCTCGAACCGGAGAAACCATCCAGAATATAGGCCCCTGCGGGAAAGAATTTATTCACAAGCCAGGAGTACAAAGTATACGGCTTCTGGTACGGGCAGAGAACACCGCCACCAGGGTGCTGGTACTTCTGCGTCACAGCATTGAAGAGCTGGAAATTGTGACGCATATCAGTGGGATCAAAATTGTAATGCGCCATCTCGCGCTGCCCACTCTCACTGTAGTAGCCGAGCACGCACAATTCGGTCGCACTCACAAGCCGTGGCCCACCCGGATTCGTCACATTAGGCTTGCACCACGTCAAAAGCTCCTGCCCTGCATTGCAAACCTCCTGAAACGCAGAACGGATGGAAGGAAGCATGTCCTCGGAACAGAGTCCCGCAACTGTTCACAACGGGGCACTGGAAACGTCCTTCAGATTGTGAAGAACCTCCACAACGTCCAACTCCGGAAACGGCTCATTATTAGATGCGTGGCCCTCGTGCGCGAACCCGTAAGGGAAGTCGAAAATAGTTAGAGATATCGACACTTTTTCTGTCTGCAGCTTCGACAACGAGCGCATGTCGCCATCGATAATTTTCACTTCCGCCGAGTCGTTGTCGTGTGTCACCTCCGTCCACTCGACGAACGGTTCCACGAGAGGTTTCGTACGGAACGCGTGAATAGCGTTCTTTGCTTGCAGTCTCCTCTCCTTGTTCTTCCATTCAATGGCCCGTTTAATATGGCCATCCAGTGCAGGGATACTTGTCTGACCCCCTCTTATGCCACCAACGAACTTCTCCAAAATCTCTTTCTTTGTGTGGAGAGGATACTTCTTCTCGGCGTCCTTGAAGTCAGCAACACCCACCCCCACTGCGAATGCCTTGCAGACGTAGGCGATTTGCTTGACAAGTTGGAACTTCTTATCCATCTCCTTAAGCGAGATCTGCTTCGCAATGACCTCAAGGAGGATAGGGACGGCGTTCTCTGGAGCCATACTACCCATGGCTATCCAGTGTTGCGCTGGCATGTCCTCGGCGACCATGGGGACCTTGTTACCCTGCAGTTGCACCCGTGGATAAAGAAGCGCCATTTCTTGCTCCTTTGCAGCCGCCCTATCAAGCCTCTTCCCACGCTGGTTTTTCTTCGCGCCCTCGGACTCGCTCGGTTCCAGATCCAGGTCCGCTTTCAAGAAGCTCCTGGCAACCAGCTTCAGTTTTTGGCCTTTGACCTCGCCCTTCTGCCACATGCTCATGATCTTACACATGAGCTCCCAAATCTCTTGGGGTTTGAAAGCACACTGCAGCAACGGGTCTTGGGCGTTCAATTTCTTCGCCGCGTTCGGAATCCCTGCTTCTTTCAGGCAAGCGAGCTTCACTTCTTGCGACTTGACGCACCCCCTGCTCTCAAAGACTTGGCGCCAGCACCAAAGCTTCTCGATGAAGCTCAAGTCCCTGTGGTAACCCGCCCCAAGGTTATGCTTGTGGGTAACCTGCCTCGCCTCATCGATCGTGAGGCCAACGTAAACATAGCACACATTGTACTGGTACTCCTCGTTGTCGGGGTTCATGCGTGCTAACAACTCCCTCGCTTCCCGACTGTGGCCACCACCAAGCACAAAAATGTCGTAGTCGCCGACTCTCAGTTTCGTCAAGCTCATGTCTTCTTTGCGTCCGGCCTGGGCAGGGTCGACGAGGCCAACGAAGGGAAGATGATCTCCAGTTGGCTGCTTCAACATGGAGTCCATGATGGACGTCACATGGTCCTCGTCCGGCTCTCTCACCTTCATTGGTCTTTTCCCATTTACCAGGGGTGGCCTCTTCAAACATTTCATAGGCCTATAACTTTCACGGCGTATCCGGTAGTTGTAGGCCTTTAACTCTCGGATACGCTGTGAAAGTTTTAGGCCTATTCCTTCCGGTTACGCCTTCAAAGAAACGGAATGAAACTTGCAGCTCTGCAACTTCCTGCGAAGAGTGACATGCAGTGGGAATTAGGGGAGATGAGAGCATTTACCATGCAACCAGTCTTGTTTAATGCCAACAACTTCTTCGTTTTGGATGGGCATCTTCATGGGCATTAATTTATCCCCCTTCAACAGACATTTAGTGAGTTTGCCCTTGATAACGACCCACAACTCCGCGATGAGAACGCGAGCGAAATCCTAATTAGTTATGCAATCAGCTTCTTTTCTTCTGTGGTTTGGCGGATGCCATGCTGTTCTTGGGTAAGCAGCACGCGCAGGTTGTGTGGATTCTGCTTCAACTGGGAAGGCAAGTCTTGGTCGTGGATGGGGACACAACGCAGCTTGAATACACCGTGCAGTTTGTTACCCATGAAGTATCGTCCGGGGCATACACATGCGATTTCAACCATGTCGTCGTCGAGCCCGTTTATGACCCGAACAAGGACATGTTCTTCAAGTTGACTTCGAAGAAAAGGCACCAGGTCTACTCGTTTCTTTTCGGCCAACAACCAAGGTTGAGATTTGACCAGCAGTACGTGGTGCGAAAGGAAGTCGCCATTGCAGTCCTCCAGGGCTACCACGGGCCGAGTCGCGCGGGCGCAGTGAGCTTCATTAAGAGGCTGAAATATGTGTTTTTTAACGAGGGTGTAGTCGACCCGGCCGACTTCACTTTGGATAACTACAAGCTGGCATTTGGTGAGGACGATGACTTCAATATCGAGACTGACAAGTGGAGAGCTTTGAGGACGACCTCTTCGATTTGGACGGCCGATTGGCCATGTTCAACGCCCAAGTTTCTAAGTCGCCCTCAGTATGCAAATCGGGGACACCTCTCGCTACACCCACCTCAGGCGGTTCCACGCACGTGTCCTCCTCAACGTCTATCAAGAGGGGTGGGTTGTCCCGTCTGAGGAGTTCGTAGGGGGAGTTTATTCGTCTCACACCGCAGCGCGAACGTCTTCAACCCGGCCAACCAGTTCCTCCGGACCATCCACATCTCTTGGCTCCTGAAAGGCCCTACCACATGGGCGACAAACACACCTTCTCCACAACCGAAGATTGGGGCCATGATATTGTGTGGCACCCTGACCATTTCCAGCCAATCCTTCTCGAAAGCGACTGGGCAGTGGTTGTGAGGGACCTAAGTGGAGGGTGGGTATATGACGATCGTTCGGACCTCAAGACATTCAAATCTCACGCCTACGATGCGGTATTGGAGAGATTAAGTGAGGTCAATCGAGGAAGTAAGGACGACCCTGCTCTGCGCGCATACGGGGACACGCTGTTCGATTTCTTGCAGTCAAATAAATGGCTGGAAATATCCTCCGCATTCTACAACCTCCCGTCAAGCTTGTCAATTAATCAAGTAAGTTGGGAGTTGCCTGCGACCACCCCGCCGACTGGAGTTGTGAAGCGCAAGTCTCGCGGAAAGGACGACGAAGGGGACGGCCAAGGCGACGAGCAACGCGGAACCGGAGGGGGGAGTGAACAGCGCTCGACGAAACAACGGTCTCCGGGGCACGAGGGGGGCGAAGAGGGGAAAAAGGGCAGCCGATAGAAGAAAAAGCTTCGCAGTGGAGAGAAGACAAAGCATCACAGAGGAGACGGGCAGGGGTTCGATGCCGACCGCGACGAGGACTGTGGGGTTCTGGCGGTAACAGGCAGCACCTCAATGGAGACGGGGAACGACTTCAGGCCTGGGTGGATTACGCCGCCTGGCGATCAGGACCCTGTGATTAGCTCCACCAGCGCAACACAGTTTATCGATGCGGTCGACGGGGCAGTTGTTGCAAAGGATGGAACTTGCTTCGCTCAGCTTCAAAAACGATTGGCGGATTGTCTCGGATCAATCCGAACCACGGAGACGACGACGTTGTCCGGAACTCAGTGCCTTGTGGGAAGCGAGACGACAACATACCACGGGTCCGACAACAACAAGTTGGAACCATGTTCTATTTCGCCTCAAAAGGAAGTTTGGATTAATCCGAACCCGGAAGCCAGTACCGTTGAGAGAGCACAGCGGTCTACGGAACTCGAACATGTGGTCCTGGTTTCCGAAAACCCTGGCGGCGAAATTCGGATTCATCCAAACCAGGAGGACGTGTCTGCCATGACAGACGATCGGTGTAAGGACGCCGTAATGCTGTGCATGGAAGTCTGCAAGGAGCTGCAGGCAGACTGTCAGACTAAGGGTGAGTTAGCGACCAGTTTCAATGTCGAGTCCCCCACACTCGGAGACGAATGTCTGGTGACGGTGCGCGCTTCGTTACCAGTCTTAAGCGACTCTCCGGTGAAAGTGGACACGTCGGCGCCATTGAAAACTGTGGGGGCTCGGATGAATCCGAACCAGGGCCCTGTGAGCATGTCCCTCCATGATGCAGCTTTGGAGACGACAGTAATTCGGATGCATCCGAGACACACGGACGCAGGACTTGAACTGGCTGGCGTTGAAGGTTGTGGACATGTGACGACTTTAGACAAGGTGGACGGGTCCTCGCCGACACATTCCGCCGACGACCGGATTGATCCGACACTCAGCGACGTGAGGTTGCCCCGCGTTACTTCGGGACATGATATGTATGTCGTCGGGTTGGAGCAATGAGTTGAGACGGGATACGTCGACTCCTTGTACTCCGGCCTTCACGACGAAGCGATGGGAGAGGACGTTCTTAGGAAGGCCTCTGACGCTGTTGGAGATAGCTTTTTTTATTTGAGTGACGACGACGAAAACACACCGCACGAGGACAAGAAGTTAAGGGGGGGACAGGTGTTGTTGGACATCCATGGAACCTTGAGCCCAACACAATACGACACATTGGCGATAGAGAAAACACAACCTGTCGATATTGTGGACGTCGATGTCCGGAGACGGACATAATAAAATTGACCGTCGCGGACGTGGAAGATTTCCGCCATCGGGATGAAGATGAATTTATGCCGTCTCCGGTCATCGACGCCGACATCTCAAACCTGTCAAGTCTCCCTGGGGGTTTGGAGCATGTCGTCGCCGCGACGATGCGCACAGGGGCGCCAATCGTGTTGGGACTGCCATCGGTGGGCTCTGATGACGTGGAAGCTAAGCCTGGTAAGCACTGACTTTCTCTGCTTGCTTCCCGCTCGTAAGCCCGTTCGTGAAGTGTTGTTTGCTTCGTCGCTTTCGGGGAGTTGTATACGCAGCCGCCAACTGGACTGTGACGATGGGGTTCGTGAGGTGCTGTTTGCTTGGTTGCTCGTGTGAATTTGTGTTGTTGATCTCCGGCTCAACTCTCTGGGTGGCAATTTCTTGTACAAGTCGACGAACTCGTGGGCAAACACACATGTCGCAGGAGCCGCCTGCCCCCGCCAGGTTGTCAGTCCTGGTTGCGGGAGGCAGTGGTCGTCGCGATGTCACTGATTCGTTTCCTGGGAACACTAAGCCTCGGGGCCCTCCCGAAAGGGTAGTTTTGCCCATAGTGGGCCCTCATGCAAGACTCGTTGCAGAGGCAGCGGGTGTTGCCGAAAAAAACTGCAAGGAATTCCTTATCGAAGCTTGCAAGGATATAAAAAAGGACAGTGCTAGTTTAGACTCAACTGTGTGTAGAAGGTCCAGAAGTAGGGGTGACGTTATGCGTGAACTTTTCAGGCCACAGAGTAGCAGTTCGTCGAACCATGGCCGCTAGGACGGCGTTTTCTCATAGTCACCCGTTCTTTGTGCTTGCTGTGTGCTGCGGGTGTTTGTTGAACAGGGTTTCCTCGAGATGGAAGAGCAGTCCTTGAAGACGTTATCTGCTCCCGGGTTGCCGCTCACTATTATCGTCACGCGTTTGTCGTCGCACAATTTACAGGTATCCGTCAAAGACATCGTCGCACTTGTGGATGGATCCGGGGAGATCAACGATGAGGTTGTCAATTTCTACATGGCGATGCTACTGGACGACTGCGGCCGGACTGCCGCTACCATGAAGACGTACACATTTAACTCTTTCTTCGCCTCTACTCTGCTTCTGCGAGGTCCGGGAGCTGTTAGCAGGTGGGCTAAAGATGTCGACTTCCTGTCTCATGACCTCATCTTGGCACCAGTGCACACGGACGGCGAACATTGGAGCCTTTTGGCCATTGACTTCTCTAGACGTGTTTTGGAAATCTATGATTCTTTCTCGTATTCGTCATCCAAAGATGACTTCTATTCCGCACTTTTAGATTAGACTGTTAAATTTTTGAACACGGTGGAAGGTGCCGCCGGTGATGATCGCACTTTCGATCCCTTCGCGCGCGCGGTCCGCGTGAAAGGTGTCCCTCGGCTGCACGACGGGGCTAGTTGTGGGGTGTTCATGTTGATGTTCGCTTCCTGTTTGGCGAGAGGTTTACGTCCACCTTTTGGTTTCTCCCATAAACACATCTCCTCTATCAGAGCTAGACTAGCTGAGGTGATTTGCAATGTTGGTAGGTAAGCGTCTATCTATTTGTTGATCATGTAGTGTAGAAGGGTTGACGTAAAATAATATTTCGTTCTTCTCCGGATGAAATTTGTTCCTTTTCATTTTTCCATGAGAGACTAGTAGGTGTTCTCGGGTTGTTTTAGAACAGAACTGGCTGTCACTGCCCGGATATCTCCGGGTGGAATTGTCACGTCCCCGGCGTGTTTGTGATCGACAATATTGTTCTTTCTCATTGGCAATCAATTATCACGAACGTTCTCGTGGTGGGGCCGCGTGTTTCGTGATTGACTTTCTCGTTTTCGTCATTGAATGTTGTCAAGTGTGGTGTGATTTTCTGCCCGCATACTCGGATGCATCCGGACTCCATCTAACTCTATATTTTTCTGCCTCTCTCCCGAACCTCCCCCGTCGTCTACACTCATCTATGCATTTTCACTTTGAATATTGTGAGGCATCACAGAGAACAAAATACAACACACGGGCCTCTTTCTACATTTGAT